GACCTATACCTGGACCTGGACCTATACCTGGACCTATACCTGGACCTGGACCTACACCTGGACCTACCATTCTGTGTTTGTCTGTCTCTCCTTCCTGTCCTCTCAACCAGCCGGTCAAAGCAGATGGTCTCTTGTCCTGAGCTGGTTCTGCTGGAGGTTTCTTCCTGTTAAAAGGGAGTTTTTCTTTCCACTGTCTCCACTGTGCTTGCTCAGGATGGGAGACTGCAACGAAGCCAAGATTCAACTTGTCTGCTGGATTCCTTAGATAGAGAACTTTACTTACTGGCTTTTATGTGAATGTTCCTGTAACGTGCCCTGAGACAACTTTGCTGTGATTTGACGCTATATAAATAAACTGAATTGAATTGAATTTATTGGTTGGGGGCGGAGTCACTGGATCCTTCAAAAAACTTTTCAAAACTTTGATCCACCATTTGCAATTTCTCGGACTGTAGCAGCGGCTGGACCTATTTTAAAGATTTTAAAAACAATAATGACAAAACCTTGGGGGCGGCTGTGGCTGAGTGGTTAGAGCAGTCGTCCTCCAATGCAACAGTTGGGGGTTCGAATCCACCAGCAGTCACATGCCAAAGTGTCCCTGGGCAAGACACTGAACCCCTCTTTGCCTCCGATGTGTGTCCCATCGGTACTTTGGTTTCCTCCCACAGACCAAAAACATGCATGTTAGACTGATTGGTAACTCTAAATTGTCCCTAGGTGAGAGAGAGAGAGAGTGAGTGGTGGTTCTTGTTTGTGTCCCTGTGATGAACCTGAGACCAGTCCAAGGTGTACCACCATTAGATATGGGTACCAGTGACCCTGTGACCCATATAGAAGCGGGTAAAGATAATGGATGGAAACCTTTCATTAATGCTTAGTTGTCCCATGTTAACAATCAGAATTATTTTTGATCGATTTGTATAAGTATATAATAAAATATAAGTTTGGTGGTTCATGTGTCACTCTGGTAGCTTAGATGTGATTTTTAGGCATGAAGCAGAAGGGAGGGGCAGCTAAGCTGATCCAGTGCATTCTGGGATTTGTGTTGTATGCCTACATGCTGCTTATAATGCATATAAAAAAGATCAAACATCTATCATCTTTTACCCGCTTCTTCCATTTTGGGTCACGGGGGTCGCCGGTGCCCATGTCCAGAAAGCACTGTGCGAGGGGCGGGGGACACCCTGGACAGGTCTCCAGTCCATCACAGGGACACATAGAGACAAACAACCATTCACTCTCACACCTAGGGACAATTTAGTTACCAATCAGCCTAACGTGCATGTTTTTGGTCTGTGGGAGGAAACCCACGCATGCACAGAGAGAACATGCAAACTCCACCCAGAAAGACCCCTGGACCGGGATTTGAACCGGGGACCTGCTCGCTGAGAGGCAGCAGCTCTACCAGTTGTGCCACCGTGCTGTGTAAAGATCAAAGAGTTCAGATAAAAGTGTTACAGATGTTACGGGCCTTAAGTTTGACATACAGGGTAAAATAAATCAGTTAATGGTAGGAAATCCTAAAACAGAATTTAAGACCCAGCTTTCCTTAAACAGTGCACATTGCCCGCCACCTTTCATGCCACTTTGAAACCCAAACCATCTTAAGCTGACACAGGACAGTTATCCAGTTTTGTTTAAATCTTGTAAATGGCATCATACATAAAACGTGTTGGTGCTCAGAGTCTCGGTCACTATTATTTTGTTCCACACCAAATAAGCTGTTTTTGTGTTTACTAAGCTTGTTTAGCTGTGGAGGCCATCTTGTTTGGGGTAAACTCCAAGGGTTAATGTGCAGTGATTACTTTCTGAGTTTCTTTAAACTCCGTCCGCTGGTTGAAGATAGTCTGTTAAACACATGCACGTGCAGGAACAGGCAAAACACGATCATCTGCCAGTGCATTGTCCGTGGGTGCCTTCACCGTGCTGTAAGGCTTTATGAGGAAGAGGAGCTGGTTCTCTTTTATTGGATAGTTCATTTAAAATGTTTATTCGGTGACACAAACTGTATGGGATGGTTTAAAGCTAAAGAAATGACATCAAGATTTTGATTTAACAAAAATATTTTTTATTAACAGTCTGGAAGTGACTTTTTATTAGTCCAGGTTGTGTTAAGGGACAAGTAACCTCATAAATACAGTTAGATACACAATAGTTGATATCCTGCGAGACCAGGCAAGTAAAGAGTCACCAACAGAATTTTAAACATCACGTCTCTCTGAGGATGAATGATCAATTTCTTTGTAATCCATCCGTCCATTAACTTTATCACGGGGGTCACTGGTGCCCATATCCAGCCATCACTGTATAAGAAGCAGGGGACAGGTATCCAGTCCATCACAGGGACAACCTGGACAGGTGTCCAGTCCATCACAGGGACACCCTGGACAGGTCTCTAGTCTATCACACGGACACCCTGGACAGGTCTCCAGTCCATCACAGGGACATCCTGGACAGGTGTCCAGTCCATCACAGGGACACC